GAACCAGAGTCCGGTACTTCACCTCATTGGTCATATTGGACTCGATCATGACGGGGCTCACAGTCTGCAGGAAGGAAGGAAGGAGCTAAGGAAGGGGAGAACTCCCCTCTCACCCTAGCTAACCCCCAGGCCCTCTGAAAATCCCAGAGTCCCGCCCTAGCTGGTTTGGCTCAGTGGATAGAGCTTCAGTCTGCAGCCTGAAGGGTCCCAGGTTGCGGGCTCCATCCCCAGGAGGGGGCTTACAGGAGGCAGCCGATCAATGATCCTCTGTCATTATTGATGTTTCTCGCTCTCTCTCTTCCTCTTCCTTCCTCTCTGAAATCAATAAAAATATATAAAAGAGCCCAAACTGATTTGGCTCAGTGGATAGAGTGTCGGTCTGCAGGCTGAAAGGTCCCAGGTTCGATTCCGGGCAAGGGCATGTACCTTGGTTGCAGGCACATCCCCAGTGGGGGCTGTGCAGGGGCAGCTGATCAATGATTCTCTCTCATCGATGTTTCTCACTCTCTATCCCTCTCTCTTCCTCTCTATGAAAAATCAATAAAATATGTTTTTAAATATATATAAAAGAAAAATAAAATAAATGCTATCGTCTACTTTAAATTTTTTTTAATAAATACAAATAGCCGGGACCGGTTTGGCTCAATGGATAGAGCGTCGGCTTGGGGACTGAAGGGTCCCGGGTTCGATTCCTGTCAAGGGCATGTACCTTGGTTGCGGGCATATCCCCAGTAGGGCGTGTGCAAGAGGCAGCTGATCGATGACTCGCCCATCGATGTTTCTGGCTTTCTATCTCTCTCCCTTCCTCTCTGTACAAAATCAATAAAATATCTTTAATAAATAAATAAATAAATAAATAAATAAATAAATAAAAATAAAAATATATTTTTTTAAAAAATAAATAAATAAAATCCTAGAGTCCCACCCAACTTGCTGCTCTCCTACAGCCCGCCCCAGGCCACGCCCCTCCAGGCCACGCCCACAGATGCCACGCCCCCTGCAACAACCCTCCGCTGGGGAGGCTCCTCCTGATTGACAGCCCCTGCCCCGCCCCGTGAGCGTCCACTGTCGCGGAGCTCCTTCCCCGCCGGAGCCCCGGCCTCCGGAGCCGCCACCGGTCGCGCCCCCCGGAGCCAGGCACCTGCACGAGGACTCCCTGGGAGCGGTACTCCGCGCCCACGGCCTGCGAGAAGCTCCGCACGAAGGCCTGTGAGGAAGGAGAGGAGGACCCAGGCTCTGAGCCTCCGCGTGCAGACTCTCCAGCCCGTCCCGGCCCCGCACCGACCCTGCTCCTAGATCCCCGGATGGCACCGGAGAGCCCCCAATCTCCCGCCCCGCCCCCAAGTCCTCACCTGAACCCCGGATGCTCCGGCGCTCTGAACCTCCCCGCCTCCCGGTACTCCCAGACACCCACCCTCTGTTCCACCCGCCGGTCCCATCTCACTCCCCCCTCACGCTCCCCCTCCCCCAAGCCTCCGTTTCTCTTAAAAACAAACCAACAGCCGATACCGGTTTGGCTCAGTGGATGGATCATCGGCCTGCGGACTGAAAGGTCCCAGGTTTGATTCCCGTCAAGGGCATGTACCTTGGTTGCGGGCACATCCCCAGTGGGGGGTGTGCAGGAGGCAGCTCATGTTTCTAACTCTCTATCTCTCTCTCTCCCTTCCTCTCTGTAAAAACTCAATAAAATATATATTTTCAAAAACACACAACTTTCTATGCTTATTAAAAAAACAAACAAAAACTATCTCTGTAGGGCCGGGGCCAGAGTCTCTCACCCCCTCCGCGGTGGGCGGGGCCCGGGTACCTTGGACGCGGCGTAGGCCGATAGCAGCGGACAGGGCTTCTGGTCCAGAAAGGACGAGATGTTAATGACGATGCCTTTGCGCCTGGAGGAGAAAGTATTGGTGCAAAGGTGACTCCCCCACCTCCACCCCTGAGCCAGGGCCTGATCTGAGAAATGTGAGAGGGAAACGCGGCCGGGACTGCTGGGGCAGGGGGAACCAGCCTGGAGGCTGGATGGAGGAGGAGCCAGAGGAGGAGGGGAAAGGGCTGTCTACTTCTTACCTGGAGACCATTTGGGGCAGGACAATTGCGGTCATCTGCAGAGAAGAGTGGGAAGGGCCCCGTTTTCCAGTCCTTTCACCTGCCCCCTCCCCCTCAAGTTCTCGCCCATCCCCCACCCCATCCCCCAGCTTCCCCTGTGGACTTTTCCCCCAGCGCCTTCTCTGTGGGCCGGCTGTAGGGGGACCACCCAGAGTGGTCAGAGCTGTGCTGACCTTGGCCTTAGCCCCTCCCAGCCCAGGCTTACCTGGGCCACAGACATGATGTTGCAGTTGATGACATCAGAGAGCCTCTGGGGAAGGAACAGAACCATGGTCCCTCCCTCCACCACCTCCTCAACCCCTGCCTTTTCTTATATCCTAGCTTACTTTCTTTTTATTAAGTTATTATATGTGTACACACCTTACCAATCCCCCCTCCCATACATGCCTTCCCTCCCCAGAGTTTTGCGTCCATTGGTTTTGCTTATATGCATGTGTACGAGTCCTTTGGTTGATCTCTTATCTCCCCCATATCTCCCTCCCTTCCCCGCTGCAATTTGACAGCCCTAGCTTACTTTCTTTTAAGATTGAACAGAATTTATAATGTGCATACTCTTTGACTCATCAACACCACTTCCGGACATTTACTCCTTTCCAAGATACTCACACATGTGGGGAATGAATTAAGTAGAAAGATATTGTCTGTAACACTATCGGTAGTCACCCATAATAAAACACCTCCCGAATGCTCATGGCTGGAGAAACGACTAAATAAATACAGTGTTGCCCTCACTGGTTTGGCTCAGTGGGTAGAGCGAAGGGTCCTGGGTTCAATTCCAGTCAAGGGCACATGCCCAGGTTGTGGGCTCGATCCCCAGTAGGGGGCGTGCAGGAGGCAGCCAAGCAATTTATTCTCTTTCATTGATATTTGTATCTCCCTCTCCAACTGGAGGGGAAAAAAATTTAAATAAAAATGGAAGAAAGAGCCCAAACCGGTTTGGCTCAGTGGATAGAGGTCCCAGGTTCGATTCCAGTCAAGGGCATGTACATTGGTTGTGGGCACATCCCCAGTGGGGGTGTGCAGGAGGCAGCTGGCGATGTATCTCGCTCATCGATGTTTCTAAAAAATATATTTTTTTAAATGGAAGAAAGAAAAAAGAAGCTGTAGGATTAAAGAAGGATTGTAAGGGAGAGTTTAGGAAACCACAGACTCTCAGGGGTAGGCCCTGGTTTTCCCATGAGGGCCTCCCCCCCTAAAGTTAGCTCCAGGGGAGGGAGAAGGGCAGACAGAGCCAGGGAACACCGGCGCTGGGAGGGCAGTGCGGAGGACGCCCCCATGGCGTCCTACCCATCAGAGGCGCGCAGCTTAGAAAACAATGTTCTGGCTGGGACCCGTTTGGCTCAGTGGATAGAGCGTCGGACTGAAAGGTCTCGGGTTTGATTCCGGGCAAGGGCATGTACCTTGGCTGCGGGCACATCCCTGGTGGGGGGTGTGCAAGAGGCAGCTGATCGATGATTCTCTCTCATCGATGTTTCTAACTCTCTATCTCTCTCTCTTCCTCTCTGTGAAAAAACAATAAAATATATTTTTAAAAAAGAAAGAAAGAAAGAAAACAATGCTCCGACAGAAGCCATAAACAGAGCGCCTCCCCCCAAACCCGCAGGCTGCTGCCGCCGCACGGAGGGCGGAGCGGGAGCTGAGAGGAGGCCCTGGCTCACTCACCTTGGCCACGTCCTCGCAGTCCAGCAGCCTCGCCATGGCCTTTTGGTACAAGGTGCCCACGTTGTTCACTGAGCGGGAGGAGACAAGCTGTCAGTGTCTCTGCAGCGGCCCGGGAGCCCGGCGGGGGCAGGGAAGGGCGAGCACAGCGATCTGGGTGGGCTTGGGGCGCGGGAGGGCAGGCTCCTCCCAGCGGGCCTGGCTTACCCAGGACTCCGACCTCCAGGTCCTCCAGTCCCGCCTTCACCGCCTCGTAGATCTCCAGGCCGCCGGTGAAGTCCACCTGGATGACTCGAGTGAGCCTGCCGTGCCGCCGCTCTGGGGAGAGGCCGAGGGAGCCAGGCCCGAGCTGGAACCCATCCCAATGCTGCCCCCACCCTGTCCGCGGGGTGCAGCCCCAGCCCCTGCTCCATCCTCCCTTCCCTGGCCCGGATGCAGCTGAAGCCCCGCCCCACCCCGCCTGGACACGCCCCTGGACACGCCCTCCTCCAGTCCCAGCCCCTGTTCCCAACTTTCCCAGCCTAAGACCTCCCTCCCCCGCCTCCATCACCTCCCCCACTTCCACCACCTCCATCACCTCCCCCACCTCCATCACCTCATCATCTCCACCTCATCACCTCCCCCGCCTCCACCACCTCCCCTGTCTCCATCAGCTCCATCACCTCCCCCCATTTCCCCCGCCTTCCCCACCTCCATCATCTCCATCACCTCCATCACCTCCTCCACCTCCATCACCTCCCCCCATTTCCCCCGCCTTCCCCACCTCCATCACCTCCATCATCTCCATCACCTCCATCACCTCCCCCACTTCCATCACCTCCATCACCTCCCCCACCTTCATCACCTCCCCCACCTCCATCACCTCCCCCACCTCCATCACCTCCCCCACCTCCACCACCTCCCCCACTCCATCACCTCCCCCACCTCCACCACCTCCATCATCTCCATCACCTCCCCCACTTCCACCACCTCCATCACCTCCCCCGCCTTCATCACCTCCATCACCTCCCCCGCCTCCACCACCTCCATCACCTCCCCCACCTCTATCACCTCCCCCACCTTCATCACCTCCCCCACCTCCATCACCTCCCCCACCTCCATCACCTCCCCCACCTCTATCACCTCCCCCACCTCCATCACCTCCCCCACCTCCATCACCTCCCCCACCTCCATCACCTCCCCCACCTCCCCCACCTCTATCACCTCCCCCACCTCCATCACCTCCCCCACCTCCATCACCTCCCCACCTCCACCACCTCCATCACCTCCCCCACCTCCCCCACCTCCATCACCTCCCCCACCTCCATCATCTCCATCACCTCCCCCACCTCCATCACCTCCCCCACCTCTATCACCTCCCCCACCTCCATCACCTCCCCCACCTCTATCACCTCCCCCACCTCCCCCACCTCCATCACCTCCCCCACCTCCCCCACCTCCATCACCTCCCCCACTTCCCCCACCTCCCCCACCTCCACCACCTCCCCCACCTCCCCCACCTCCATTACCTCCCCCACCTCCCCCACCTCCCCCACTTCTCCCACCTCCACCTCCCCCTGCCTCCCCACCTCCCCACCTCCACCCCAGCGGCTGTCACCTATCTCCTTCGCCTCTTGCTCCAGCTTGCTCAGGTTGCGACTGATGAGGACGATGTTCAGGCCCCTCCGGGCGAGCTGGGGGGTGGGATTTAATCGTTTATCTGTTAACTAGAGGCCCAGCGCACCATATCGGTAGGGGCCCTAGGCCTGGCCAGCCATCAGGGCCCATCAGGTTCCCCGCCTCCCCACTCCCGCCTCTTCCTTCCCTAGCCACCCGCGGGCCTCCACTCTGCACCGCCGCTGCCCCCTCCCCACCCCGCCCCCGCCGGTGCCCACCATGGGCCGCACCACCCCCTGGTGGTCAGCACACGTCATAGCGAGCAATCCAACTCCCCTTCTGATGCAGTGCCCTAGGGGACACTGCATATTAACCTTTTATTTATAGAGATTCCATGACTCTGTCCTGTGCGCTGGCTGCGAGTTGCACAGCGTTGTCAGCGCTGTGGCTGCGGAGGTGAACAAAACAGGAAACTAAAACCTGCCTCAAGGACCATGCCTTGTGGGGAAAGAGCAACCAGGCAGACGGAGCAGCAAGTGCAGAGGCCCTGGCACCAAGGCTGGCAGCCAGAGGACAGCAAGGAGCCGCTGCGGGCACCGGGAGAAGGAACCGGTGGTCGCTCAGTGCGGCGGGCAAGGGACCAGCTCATGGAGCCTTGAATTCCCCAGTAAAGACTTGGGCTTTCGCCAAAACTGGTGTGGCTCAGCGGATAGAGCGTCGGTCTGCGGACTGGGGGGTCCCAGGTTCCATTCCGGTCAAGGGTATGTATATTGGCTGCGGGCACATCCCCGGTGGGGGGTGTGCAGGAGGCAGCTGGTCGATGTTTCTCTCTCATCAATGTTTCTAGCTCTCTATCCCTATCCTTTCCTCTCTGTAAAAAATCAATAAAATATTTATTTATTTATTTTAAAATATATTTTCTTGGTTTTTTACAGAGAGGAAGGGAGAGGGATAGAGGGCTAGAAACATCAACGAGAGAGATTCATTGATCAGCTGCTTCCTGCACACCCCCTACCAGGGATGTGCCCGCAACCAAGGTACATGCCCTGGACCGGAATCAAACTTGGGACCCTTCAGTCCTCAGAAGGACGCTCTATCGACTGAACCAAACCGGTTTTGGCTTGCTTGAATTTTTTTTAAAGTCTCTTAGCATAGGTCCTTGCGTTCACTTCACCTCTTATAGCATCATATCCATCTTCTGCTCAGAACCCTCCCGTTTTAGTAAATATTAATGTCCCCAAATTAACCCACCAGATTCCCCCTGATTCTCCTGGAACTGCATCTCTGTCCTCTTCTCCTTCTCCCTCTCCCCCTCCCTGTCCCTGTCCCTGTCCCTGTCCCTCTCCCTGACCCTCTCCTTCTCCCTGCTCCCTCTCCCTGCTCCCCCTCCCTCTCCCTCTCCCCCTCCCTCTCCCTTCTCCCTTTCCCTCTCTCTGTCCCTCCCCCGCCTCTCCTTCTCCCCCTCCCTCTCCCTGTCCCTCTCCCTGTCCTTGTCCATCTCCCTCTCCCTGTCCATCTCCCTCTCCCTGCTCCCTCTCCCTCTCCCTGCTCCCCCTCCCTCTCTCTCTCCCCCTCCCTCTCCCTTCTTCTCCCTGTCCCTCTCCCTTCTTCCTCTTCCTCTTCCTCTCCCTCTCTCTCTCCCTCTCCCTGCTCCCCTTCCCTCTCCCTCTCCTTCTCCCTCTCCCTTCTCCCTGTCCCTCTCACTGTCCCTGTCCATCTCTCTATCCCTCTCCCTCTCCTCTCCTATCCCTCTCCATATCCCTCTCCCTGTCCCTGTCCCTCTCCCTTCTCCCTGTCCCTCTCCCTGTCCCTGTCCATCTCTCTCTCCCTGTCCCTCTCCCTCTCCCTGTCCCTCTCCATATCCCTGTCCCTCTCCCTCTCCCTGTCCTTCTCCCTCTCCCTGTCCATCTCCCTCTCCCTGCTCCCTCTCCCTCTTCCTGCTCCCCCTCCCTCTCTCTCTTCCTCTGACAAAATCACAGTGGTCACCGCCTGCTTCTCCAACAGGCAATGCTGAAACCGACAGTCAACAGTCAGCCCGTTAGGCATTGGATCGTAGAGTTCCTGACACGTTGTAGGCTTTCACGGCAGGATTCAATGCTTTGGTGTCAGGCAGCTTGCCGTTGGGGTTAACAACATTATGCCAGTCATGCCCCAGGGGCCTGTGTGTAAACATGTTTCGGGGAAAATGTGCTTAGAAGAACTCTTTGCTTGAAATAATAGAAAATGCTGCTAGCTACGCCCAAAGCAACGATTGCTTAAGCCATGATGCTGGTCACAAGATGGTTAGTGTAGCTTCTGCCTTTTGCTTTAAAGATAACATCACTGGTATCTGGCAGAATCTCGGTTCTTCCACCAACCACAGGGACAAAGACACCAGACAAGATGCTCTCAGGAACTAAATTCATGGGACTGAAGGAAACCACTGAAGTTTGCACAGAAACTAACCCATCAGCTTTGCTCCTGACCCCTAACCCTCCATCTTGGCCTTTTAATACCCTGAGGGCCTGGCTAGTGTGGCCCAGGGTGGAGCATCGACCGATGAGCCAGGAGGTCATGGTTCCATCCCGGTCAGGGCACGTGCCCGAGTTTCAAGCTCCGTCCCCAGTAGGGGGTGTACAGGAGGCTGCTGGTCAAAGATTTTTTCTCTCATGATTGATATTTCCATCTCTTCTTTCCCTTCCTCCGTGAAATCAATTCATATATATATATATATATATATATATATATATATATATATATATATAGTCCTTGATGAAAAACCATCAGGGAGTCTGGGTTTTGAGTGATCGCTCCTCGTTCTCCTGCCGGGATGCCCTGCAGCAAACTGGTTTAACGTCCCCCCTGAACAGGTCAGTGTCCGATGTGTGGCCACCCGGACAGTGTCGGGGGCTCCCTGGTTCAGTAACCATGCTCCATGCCCCAGGGCCTTTGCACTGGCTGCTCCTTCTCCCCAGAGACCCCTCCTCCGTTATCCGCGGGACCTGCACCTCCATCAGGTCCTTTCTCGCTGTTGCCTTCTCAGCAACACCGTCTCCTGAGCACCCTGTGTGAACACGGGGACCCACACCCCCCCAGGCCTCCTTGTTCTCCTTTCATGGCTTGTTTTTCTCCTTCACCCTGACAGCCATTCCACACCCTACATGCCACGTATTTTCCTTCTCTTCACACCCGTCCCCTCACTCTAGTGAATGTAAGCTCCGTGAGAGCAAGGTCTCTTTGCATGTTTTAAATCTATTTTGTTCACTGCTTTCCTCCCAGCTTGGCACCAGAGGTGGTCAGTGAATATCTTTTCATATATATATATATATATATATATATATATATATATTCTTATTGATTCCAGAGAGGAAGGGAGGGATAGAAACATCAATGATGAGAGAGAATCATTGACCCTCTGCCTCCTGCACGCCCCGTACTGGAGATCAAGCCTGCAACCCCAGCATGTGCCCCTGACTGGAATTGAACCTGGGGCCTTCCAGTCCGCAGTCCCACGCTCTATCCACTGAGCCACACCAGCCAGGACAATGAATATGTTTTGAAGGAGTGAATGAACCCGGGCGATGGTGGGGGGTGCCTATAGGCACCAGTGTGAACCCCTGAGCCAGGCGGGGAGGCTGAGGGAGCCAGGTCACGCACACAGTTCTCAGTCCAGGAGGAGCCCCTGGCCACAGGTAAACCCACAGCCGGAGCACCCCCTCCCCTCCTCCCCCCCAAACTCGCAGCCCAGCCTCACCTCGTGCGCGTAGGCGCGGCCGATGCCCCCGGTGGCTCCGGTCACCACTGAGCGGAGAGAAGGAGGGTGAGCAGGAGGGGGCCTGGCACTGCCCAGCCCCGCCTCACCCCTCCCGGACACCCGGCCCCTCACCCTCCCGTCCTCACCCCCATCCGCTGGACTCCCACCCCTGCTCCCCTCGCCGGGACGGTCCGGGGACTCCTGCCCGCCTCGCCCTGGCTGGCCCAGCCTTCACTTCTCCTGCTTCCAGGACTGCCCGCTGCCTGAGCCCGAGGGGGGCCCTCGCCTGTCATCTGTCCTGGTCCCTGCGGCCCCGCGGCCCCTCCACCCGCGGGCCCGGCCCGGCCCGCCGCTCACCTGCCCAGGCTCCGTGCGCCCGCAGCCAGGGCGCCCCGCGGCGCACCGGGGGCAGCAGGTGCACGTAGACCGCGCCGCCCGCGCCCCAGGCCGCCCGCAGCAGCAGGCACAGGGCGGCCGCCGCCCCCAGCGCCCGCAGCGCGTCCCACTCCGGCCCCATCGCCGCCCCTGGAGCCGCCGGCCCGGCGCCCACGACCGGGAGGCTGCCCGTCAGCTCTGTCCACCTCCACCTGCGGCGCCGCCGACCCTGCCGCCCGCCCCGCCCCCGGCTCAGCCCCCCGCCCCGCCCGTCCCGCCCGCCCCCTCCCTGCAGGCCCGGCAGCCTCGGCCCTCCCCCGCCCGGCGGGGGGAAGCGGCCGCAGGTCACCTTTGTTTGGGTCACGGAGCTCACCTTGGCGACTGGAGAGAGTTTTGTCAACACGCAGAGCTGGTCTGGAGGCTGCATCCACAGGCCGGCCGCTCAGCGGACTGAGGCCAAGGCCCTCACATGGCTTTGCAAGGCCTTGCTCCTCCGCCTCCTTTTACAAACTCTATTTCTTTCTTTCCTTCCTTCCTTCTTTCTCTCTCTCTCTCTCTCTCTCTCTCTCTCTCTCTCTCTCTCTCTCTCTCTCTCTCTCTCTTACTTGTTCTTCATGTGTATTATTATTAGCGTGGTACACTATACACAACATAAAATATGCCACGTTAATGCTTTCTGAGGGTACAGTTGTCAGCATTAAGTACATTCACAACGTTGTGCAATCATCCCGTCCCGGAATATATGTCATCATCCCAAATAAGAACTTTGTGCCATTAGGTAATCTCCCCCCATCCTTCCTTCCCCCAGCTCCTGACTTTTTTTTTTTTTTTTTTCTTTAACAGAGGAAGGGAGAGACAGAGAGAGAGAGAGAGAGAGAGAGAGAGAGAGAGAGAGAGAGAGAGAGAGAGAGAGAGAGAGAAATGTACCCCCACTCTGAATCAAACCAGAAATCCTTTAGTGCACAGGAGGCTGCTCACCGCGCTAAGCCACACCAGCAGCGAGGTCCTGACCGTCTCGATTCTTTCTGTCTTGATGAACTTGCATATTCCAGATGCCCCATTTCAGAGAAAGCATACCTCTGTCTTTGCGTGTCTGGCTTATGTCACTGAGCGTGAATGTGTCCAGCGTTTGTCTATGTTGAAGCCTGTGCCAGAACGTCATTCTCTTATGGCTGGATGCCGTTCCATTCTTGAATACTCCGCAGTTTGTTCAGTCATATGTCTGCTGTTGGACATTTGGGGTGTGTCTGCCTTTTGCTATTGTGACTAACAGAACCATGAACATTTGTGTGAAAGTATCGGTTTGAGTTCTGCTTTTGAGTCTCTTGGGTGTGTATCTCGGAATGGAATTGCTGGATCGTGTGGTAATTCTATATTCAGCTTTTTGAGAAATCCCCATAGTTTTCCATAGGAGCTGTATCATTTTACATTCTCATCAGCAATACACACAGGTTTGCAATTTCTCCCCATCCTCGTTGTTTTAGATAACAGCCATCCTAACGAGGGCGAAGTGGCATCTGACTGTGCTCTGATTTGCATTTCCCTAAGGAACAGATCTATCCTTTTTCTTTGTTTTTTTGTTCATTTTTGTTTTCAAGCAACCACGGGCAGTAGAGTGTAGTAATCAAGAACCTAAAGTCTGGAGCCAGGAAGAGACCATTTGTTTGTTTTGTTTGCTTGTTTTTCAGTCCTCACCCGAGGATATTTTTCCATTGATTTTTTTATTCTTTTTAGAGAGTGGAAGAGAGAGACTGAGAGAAATATCTACGTGAGAGAAACACATGGATTGGTTGCCTCCTGCAGCACTGGGGATTTAGCCTGCAATCAAGGTACGTGTCTTGACCAGAATCGAACCCGGGACCCTTCGGTCCACAAGTCAATGTTCTCTGCACTGAGCCAAACCGGTTAGGGCAAACAGATCTATCTTTCATGAGTTTTTTGGCAATTCACATATCTTCTTTGGAGAAATATCTATTGAACTCTTTTGTCCTTAGTTTGAATTGAGTTGGTTTTTGTTGTTGAGTTGTAGGAGTTCTTTAAATATTCTGAATATTAATCCCCTCACAGATATAGTGAATATTATTTTCTCTTCTTTTACTGTATAGTTTTAGCTTTGTCAGGTCTTTGATTCATTTTAATTTTTTTAAACACATGTTTTTACTGATTTTTTAAGAGAGAGAGGAAGGGAGAGGACGAGAGATATAGAAACATCAATGAGAGAGAAACATTGATTGGCTGCCTCTTGCATGCCTCTTACTGGGGATTGAGCCTACAACCTGGGCATGTGCCTGACTGGGAATCAAACCCATGACCTCTTGGTGCATGGGTTGATGATCAACCACTGAGCCACACTGGCCAGGCCTCATTTAAATTTTTGCATGTGGTGTAAGGTAAAGAATAAGCTTTGCTTTTTTGCATGTAAATATCAAGTGTTCCTAGCACTATCTGCTGAAAAGACCATTTTCCTATTGAATGCTCTTGGTACCCCTGTCAAAAATAACTGACCAAAAAATAAAAAATAACGACCATGTATGTGAAGGTTTATTTCTGGGCTTTTGATTCTATTCCACTGGCCCATCTGTCTGTTCCTATGCCAGGACCACTGTTTTGATTACTGTAGCTTTGTACTTTTTTTTTTTTTTTTTAGCTATTCAGAGTCCCTTGAGATGGTATCCAAATTTTAGGAATGATTTTCCTATTTCTACAAAAAACACACACACAAAAACACACTGTTGGAATTTGGATAGGGATTGCACTGAAACTAGATCGTTTTGGATAATACTGAGATCTTAACAACATTAAGTCTTCTGATCCATGAACATGGGATGTCTTCCTATTCATTTGTGTCTTTTTTAATTCTTTCAGCAATAGTGTTGTTTTTTTTAAATGTATGTTTTTCATTGATTTTAGAGAGAGAGGAAGAGGGAGGGAGAAACATTGATGTGAAAGAGAAATCAGTTACCTCTGGCAGACATCCCCAGAGTTGTGGGCTCAATCCCATAGTGAATGAGAGACAGTCGATCTATGATTCTCTCTCATTATTGATGTTTCTATCTCTCTCCTCCTCTCCCTTCCTTTCTAAAATCAGTAAAAATATACTAGTTTTTTTAAAAAATATATTTTATTGATTTTATACAGAGAGGAAAGGAGAGAGATAGAGAGTTAGAAACATCAATGAGAGAGAGTCATCGATCAGCTGCCTCTTGCACACCCCCCACTGGGGATATGCCCACAACCAAGGTACATGCCCTTGACCGGAATCGAACCTGGGACCTTTCAGTCCCCAAGCCGATGCTCTATCCATTGAGCCAAACCAGTCCCGGCTTGTTTGTTTTTTTTTAATTGATTTTTTTACAGAGAAGAAGGGAGAGGAACAGAGAGCCAGAAAAGTTGATGAGAGAGAAACATCGACCAGCTGCCTCCTGCACACTCCCCACATCGGAGATGTGCCCACAACCAATGTACATGCCCTTGACCGGAATCGAACCTGGGACCTTTCAGTCCGCAGACCGACGCTCTATCCACTGAGCCAAACCGATTTCGGCAAAATATATTAGGTAGTTTTTAAAAAGGAAACAAAGAAGAAAAGGTCGTACTTAAAAATGGAGTTTTTACCCTAGCTGGTTTGGCTCAATGGATAGAGCTTCAGCCTATGGACTGAAGGGTCCCGGGTTCGATTCCGGTCAAGGGCACATGCCCAGGTTGTGGGCTTCATCCCCAGTGGGGGTTGTGCAGGATGCAGCCGATCCCTGATTCTCTCTCACATTGATGTTTTTCTCCTCCTTTCCTCTCTGAAATCTCTCTCTCTCTCTCTCTCTCTCTCTATATATATATATATATATATATATATATATATATATTTTTTTTTTTTTTTTTTTTTCCCAAAAGTCAGGTTTTATGCGACTCCACGTTGGTTTCATGAGGAGAGGGCAAAGCTCTGGCTTGGAGTGCAGCTGGAGCTCAGTCCTCCCTCCATGTGAGCTTCAGGGGCAGGACGTGCAGTTTTTTGTTTTTTAATATTTTATTAATATTTTACAGAGAGGAAGGGAGAGGGATAGAGAGTGAGAAACACCGATGTGATAGAAACATCGATGAGCTGCCTCTTGCACTCCCCCCCCTGGAGATGTGCCCGCAACCAAAGTACATGCCCTTGCCCGGAATCGAACCTGGGACCTTTCAGTCCGCAGGCTGACGCTCTACCCACTGAGTCAAACCGGTTTTGGCGTGACTTGCAGTTTTGCTCTGTTTTCTCTGAAAGGCAACTAACTCACTTAGAAACAGGACAGGACTTGGCCCGGTTCTGTGGGTACAACCTTTTGGATCATGGAGGCTACACCCTCTGCACCCACTCTGGGGGCACCTTTTGCATCCTTGGTAAACTGTGTTCTAACCCAGGAAAACGCCCTCCCATCTCTCTGTCTCTCCGTGGAAAGGCTGATTGGGCTGAGTGGCTGCTGGAATGAGAACACCTTCAAGATCCTTCTCTTCCGAGGCCAGAGGGCTCCTGTCATCTGGAAAAACTCGTACATTTGAACAATGTCTTAGAGGCTCACATCCTAAGTAAACACCCTATTGGAACCTGTTATGCCCAAGTGTCATAAACCCCAAAGACTACCAGGGAGCCGAATCCGATGCAATTGCAGAGAGTCTGTATTTATTTCGGACTAGTCCGAGCCCAGTCTCACCTACACCAACGAGGGCATGGGCGAGAAAGAGGAAGAACTTAACATATCAGTGGGTTTTATAGGGAGGGTGGTGCTGCTACCTTGGCTGACCTGATTGGTTGGGTTAGGCCTAGGGTCCAGTTACCTGGAGCTGGACCCGCCCCCGCCTGCCCTCTCACCCCACCTGCCCTCTCAAACCTAAGACCAAACTGAAAGAGGGAGCTCTAGCCTGTTTGGCTCAGTGGATAGAATATGGGCCTATGGACCGAAGGGTCCCGGGTTCGATTCTGGTCAAGGGCACGTATAATACATGGGGGAAGCAACCAATTGATGTGTTTCTCTCACATCGATATTTCTCTCCATCTCTCCTTCTCTCTCCCACTCTCCCTAAAAATCAATGGGAAAACATCCTTGAGTGAGGAAAAGAAAGAAAGAAAGAAAGAAAGAAAGAAAGAAAGAAAGAAAGAAAGAAAGAAAG